GAACTAACAAAAAAATCTATCTTCTATCATCTATTTAAACGTTTGTTATTTTAGTCTTCAAGAAGACTGAATGAAGAATGCAACACAGTAGTACGAAAAAACTTATGCTATTTAAAGGAAAGAGGTATTCTCTTACAATCCATACGTTCTGAAAATTTGATATTAAAACTGTTCTATGCGCTGATTATTTGGAAAATAATTGTATCTCATTTTCATAAAACTGCTTATACAAAATCTTAGCTAGATGTTAGCACTCCCAATGAACCGAGTTGTTATTTGTCAATCGTTATTAAAATGAATTGAAATTGAATCATTTTTAAGAGCTAAGTAATAGATAGTTTTTTTTATGAAAAGCCTTATTAAGAAGAATTATAAGTAAATAATTTATTATAAGCTAGTATTATTTATAACAAATTATTTCGTTATCTGTATCCAGCATCCGATAAAATTAATAAGACAAATTAAATATAGGGACGCAATTGATGGAAGATGTGTTTGATTCTGTTAATACTTTGTAAAAGTGATAATTCGGGAAGAATTGTGAGTTGTTAGGTAAAAAGTTTAAATGCATCTACGATATAATTCTAATATTACATCTTCGAATAATCATAACTTCCATTTGCTACAATATTTTTAAGTTCACCATGGTCAAATTCGGTGTTAATTCTTAAACAAATATGGAATTAAAATTCGCTTATAAATAAAATAGCCATTTCTGCTATTAGTTATAAAATAAATGTGTAAGGCGTCGCGTTTTATATATTAATTTATTTTATATATATATATATATATTTATTTTCTACAAAATCACCAGGCAGATTGTAAAAACCCCTTGGTATGTGAAGAACTTTATCACCAGGCAGATTGTAAAATCCCCCTGGTATGTGAAGAACTCTATTATTCAAAAGGATCTCAATATATCCAAGGTATCCAACCAAGTTATCTGATGTATTGCAAAGTATTGTTTGAAACTAGTTACGCATTAAAACATCAACGACAGACAACTGTTTACCATTAACCCTGCATTTCGTCTCAATAGAAAACAGCTGCTTAAGCCGTAGTATACACTTCCATTTGATTAATACCTACTCTGTTTAATATACTCTGTTTAATATGTATCTTTACTTAGGTTTTAAGATTTGAAATTACTTATTAATTCCATTTAGAAAGATTCAATAATAATTGGAAACAAAAAATTTATTTTCTAAATATATGTTGCCATTGATCATAACTTTTTTATGTAAATATTATTTATATGAAGTCTTAAAATTTTTTTTTTTTAAACACCATTGCATTCTGAAACTAGTCTGTTTTATTAAGATACCTTAAATGTGTTTAATCTGAAATATACTCTTATTCGTTTAAGATTGTAGGCAATTTAATAATGTTTTCAAAATGAAGTTAAAATTATAGTTGTTGTTCTAATAATAACTTTATTGACTATGCAATCAGTAATTGAAAACGATAATAAAGTAAGGAAATATTTAATTAATCAGCATTACTTCCCTAAATCAAAACCTCAATTTTACAAATTTTTTTATTAAAAATACAAGAATTTGGCAGTGTTATTTTGGGCGTTTCTTCTCAATTAAGTTCAAATTATACACATTAAATAATGAATAAAATTATATAATGATTCATATAGTAAAGCAAATTAATCAAACATAAATGCCTCATTAAGCAAAAAATAAGTCGATACATTCATCATTTGCCTTGCATTGAAATCATCAACAGACTCAGTGTCACATCTATAAACTTAGTCAGCAGTGTCGAGTCGTTCGCTATTTGTATCTAGTATGCTCGCACAGGTATTAAGGTGTGTTGCCAGTGAAAGTGTCATATATATATTAATAAAATTAAAAATATGTGCCACAAATAAATGGTTAAAATGCTTTAGAAAACAATACATTTAGAAAGACAAATAAATCTTAACGCATATACTTATATTTTAAGTGTAAGAAAATTGGAATTAGTTCAGAAATTAATTCCTACTACTGTAATGCCTCTCATTAGGAGAAGAGATATATCATCAAGTCTATAATTTGTGGTATATACAAATACACACAACTGTACATATACATATATATATATATATGTATATATTGATTACATACGTTTATGAGTATTTTTATATTATATATATATGTATGTAGATATATATATATATATATAATATAAATTTTTTTTTGAAAAAGAAGCAAAATAATTCTATGTTTTTAAATAGCAATGCGATTAGTTTAAACGTCACCTGGTGGTGTACACATGCCGTAGACTGAATCTAGCTAGATACAGGCAAGAAGAATTGAAAATATCTTAAAAATGGGCAGTTGTGGAACAGATTTGGTGGTGAAAAGTACTACTGTGTAGAGCTTTTAATATATGTTTTATGTTTTTTTTTTTTTGTTTAATATTGAAGTGCACTTACCTTTTTCAAAATATATTAAATATTTTGTGTGTGAATAATATTTTTCCGGAAGATTGCAAGCAATAAAAACAAAGCAGTTTTGCAGTTACTTAAAAATATTGAACGTTAAGTATATAAACGATTAAATAAGTATTGTGTAAAAGGAGTATTGTTTCAAACTGTTTTTATTTTATTTATTTGTTTTTAATAGAATGAAATTAATACATAAAATATTTAAATAAAACAACAATCAGTTTTGCATTAATATAATTACAAAAAAAATAAATAAAAATATATTAAAATTAACTAAACACATACACTTAACAATGAATTGCTTTTAATGTAAGAACATAAAGTATGGAGTACATGTAATATTTACTTTATTTAGTCTCTAAATAAATTCGCATGAGTATTTTATGATTAAATTTTTAGTTAAGCAATTTTTTACTAAAAAATTACGACAATTACTATTATATTGCACTGAATTTGTGGCGGCAAGAAGCATTTCAGAAGGAACTTCTGGAAACTTTTTAAAGCATTGTGTCAACATATAATGTAAACAAAATAGCGAAGACACAGCATGGATAATATAATTCAGAAAATTTCGTTTAATAAATATAAATAAACGATATTTGATCATTAGTAAAAGGAAGCGATAATTAAAAAATTAATTATAAAAACTCATGCAATATTACTACAAAAAATAACTAATTTAAATAAAATTAATAAATACGAGTATAAACAAAAGTATATAGATAGATATATAACATATGTGCACACATTTATATAAATGTACACTAAAAATTAAAAAAATTCCAATTAATTTAAAGTATATAATTTTGATATTTTCATGTATAATTCTGCACATTAAAAGTTTGAAACAATATTCAAATATTTTTATAGAATTTTAAATAAAATATTTAAGTTTGATTTTTTGCAGATGCACCTCTGATAGCAAATTGGCTTTTCTGCGAATTTTATTTGTGGATATTATATGATATATAGAAAAAAATTTAAAATATTCAACCTAATCGATGCAGACAATGACAGATTTATTTTAATTAACTTAGACATTAGTAGAAACTATGTTTGGCAATTCTAATGTCGGCAATGATCAGTTTTAATTGCTGTAATTTTATTTTTAAGTAGCTAAAATATTCATTCGGAACCACAGAATGCAACTGTACTAAGTGTAAACTATTAAGGACTGCCGCAAATACAATTGGTAAACTATTTCAAACTGTATAGCATAAAAACAGGGAATATATCTTCTAATCATATAATCAAGAATTTGTGATATATTTCTTAAACTAAAATAAATTCATATATAAATTGTTTTTATATTATTTGTTTTTAATTTTTAATAAAAAATATTGATACAACAGCACTAAATAATAAAATGTTTTTCTGAAATAACTAATTTTTCCTCCTAATATATTTATTCAATTTATATTCATAAGCTAATAAGTTCGTGTTGCCAAAAATAAATCTAAAAATATATATACAATTGTTTATGTATATATGTATATGTACAACTAATCAGTTGAATTAAGGGGCTTATCTCAACGGAATAGCAACATTCGTTTTTAATTATTCCAAATGTTCCCCTTACTCTATAAGAATTTTGTTGTTTGTACATCAAAATTTGACATATGGTTTATATGTGTAGTATTTGAAGTATAGTACAACATATCTAAACAAACAAATATGTGTACGATCATGTTGTAGCTTATAATCTCAAAATCTATTCGTTTTTCTTAATAATTTGAAATAGATGAGTATCGCGTGGAAACACAATATATTACAAAGTTTCATTCCTCTACGAAATTAAAAAGTTTGTTTTGTGGAAAATATGTAGTTCCGTAGCACAATCTGACTCATATCTGATTTACTATGCAGTATAGGTGGATATTTACGAATTGTCTATGTTCCGTTGATACCGTAAAAAAAAATCACACAGCAGGAGTGGGTTGTGCTGAGTAAATGCGTTTTGCACACGGCACACAAAGAAATTAAATTAAATTTTTTTATATACATACACTATATATGCGTTCGTATAATCATAATTCTAGAATTAGATTTTCTATGAAATGCTATGCTCATTTTGAAAAAGTTTCTGAGTATACGAGCCCGTAGTATGTATCTTTTAATTAATTTTTCACACAATCTGGCATCACTGTTTTGTACAAAAAGTGTTCTAAAACAATCTTAAATTGTTATAATATATTTTATCATCCACAAACAAATTTGCTTTAACCAAAACAAATTATTTTGTTTTGCTTAGGTGCTCAGTGCAAAAATGCATAAATTTAAACTAGAATATATAAAATTTTATTTTTTTTTATTTATTATTATTATTTTTAATATTTCGTAGATATACACAATGAGCATCAATTAAAATTATTAGTAAATATTATTAGAAAATATTTTTTTTTGAATTTTTCTCGTGTTAATATTAAATTTTAAAATTTTAACTTTAATTGAATTAAAATTAAATTAATTGTTTCAAACTTTTACGACTAGTAAATGTAATTTTTTTTGTTTGATTTTTTATCAAATTTTGCGAACAGTTTTTTTTTTAAATTATATTTTTGAGTATTTTTGTTTTTAATAAAAACTTTTTCGTTCGTTTCTGTTTGCAATCGTCAAAGGTTTTCAATTTATAAATTTATTTTATTTCAATCCTTACTTTTAACAGTTAATTTTGCTGAGGATTCAACTTGGCCAGTTGAAGATGTTACGCGAACTGTAAATACACCCGAATCTTCTTCATAAGTAGTTCCAATGAGTAAGACTGCACTATTTCCATCAAATATCATCTGAAAATTAAAAGATCACAATGTAATTTGTTTATTATTTTTTGTAAAAGCTTAAATAGTTAAGGATATGCAAAAAATCAAAACGTGAATTTCTTTGCAAAAAATTTTTCTTTGCAAAAATTTGTTTTTGTAATTATAATACTATTATCGTCCTCAAAACCTCAGTCGCATAGCCTGCCTTAACAAATAAATTTATATATTAATTTTTATTCTCTTATTACTATTATGAAAAGTAAAAGGTTATATTAATTAAAGTTCATATAAAATTTATATATTCTTAAACCCCACGCCACACAAAATTAAATAATTGATTATTGTTTACTGTACCAAAACATTAACTTTATTGTAGTCATAATAGAATTTCTAACTTCTAATAGAATTTAAAGTATTTACTAATTTCGACCCGATTCCGATTTCTCAAGTACGCCGATTTGACAATAGCTTTTTGTAGAGTCAGCCTATTTTGAGAAACTTTTTCCACAATGCTTTATATTGATATAGTTTACTTCCCGATCTATTGAGGTTTAAAGATGTTGACTTTATTCATTGATTGTAATAACAAAAACTGTACTACATACCATCTAGTGTCAACAAGTTTGCGCAAGTTTTATATTGAATACAAAATCCATGGGAAACAATAAAATTTTTTTTTAAATATATATCTTAATTGAAATTAGATACTAAATAGATCTATTATTATTTTCATAATTTTCATGATATCTTGTGCGTGAAGTATATATCTTCTCTTCGAAATGTTAACGGTATCGTATTAAAAAATATTGTATGTCAATGATTATATATATTATGTATGTCTAAAGCTAGATGATATGAATCGATTATTATTCACTTTAACATTATGATCCTAACATTATTTACAAATATTATTCTTAAATAAATTAGAATAATTTCACACGCTATATATTTTTGTGCATTATTAAGGATTTATTGAATTTATCAAGCTGTTTGCATCATATTAAGAAGCAGTCAGGGAACGTGTATAGTCTATATATAGTCTATAGATTAATTTGTTCAGCTATGTAAAGTGAATTCATTTAGGTATGACTATTTTATTTGCTTACATATGTAAGCACTAGTATATGATGGAGACAAAACTGTACTTGATATATTCATGTATTTAAGAAACTTTAAATTTACAGTAAAGTTTAAAACTGATTTCTTTAGTCAAAAGATGGACGCCATTCGTGCGCTAGATGTTTAGGAATTCTACCTTTAAGGTGGTTTTCAGATTTGGCATACGAACGGTGTACATTTGTGGTATCACAAGATGCCATTATTTATGTTTAAATGAGTGTTAATGCTGCTACTTCAACCTAGCCCATTCTCTATAGAGAGTGAAATCTCTCTCCAGTTGAAATGACAGATGGTGAGACGGCTTTACAAACGAGCCTCCGAAATTATCCGGTGTTCATTAATTTGAATAACTACTTTCAAGAACAACAAATAGAGAACAACCCCACTGATTTCATACATTTTAGAAAATGTCAAACATTTTGCACAAGCAAACGCAACATATGGAATAAATTAGTACAAAATAAAAGATATAGATAGATCTGCACAAGACAAAGATACAATTGGCATGTCTGTCATATGTTACTTAACTCAACATATACATTGGCAAGTTTTCTGCAATTTTCGGATATAGGCAGACAATACAGCACTTTTCGATACAAAAAGTGTAGGTGTCTGCACCAACTCTTTAGAAAACTAGCCAGCGAGGCGCTACATCAAAAATCGATGGTTTTTAATGTAAGCAAGTCTTTTACATTAGATAACATATTTTATATCAGGTTTACAAAATTCTATAACTCCAAGTACCATTTTGCAAAGAAAAGGTTCGACTTATTAAGACTTCGAGTAAGAGAATTTTTAAAATATTTTTTAGTTATAAAAAATTCGAGTTATAGAAGTTCGAGTCACGAAAGTTTTCTGTTCTGACCTTTTTAATAAAAGATGGGAAGAGTTAACGATATGTAGGCATCCATATGAAAGTTGGTCGCGTTTCATTAAAATGAAATCCAATACTTTAAGTGAGATGCTCCGTAGAGATATCAATCTTGTGATAGATGTACTCACAGATCACAGCACATGCGTGGCGTCAGTTTGCTACTTTAGCAGCCTCCTTTTTTTGTAGATCTTGTTCAATTGCAAGACCTCCCATTATATAGCATTTTAAGCTTTGCCAAAAGTTAAAGATAGTTATAAGGTACAATCTAACTGATTCTTATCTAAATATGAAATTTTAAAGTAATGCGAATTATGCTGTACGATGGGTAGAAATCTTAGAAATCTTACAGGTAAGAAAGAATTGATGCGAGTAAATAGTTTTTACTTCCTTGAGGAATAAATTGTATTTGATAGTAATCTTGTGAAACTAATGCGTAAGGGGTACTGTTAACAAGGATATTTTCGAAAAAGAGTATAAAAAAGTGCAGTCATAGAAAAATATACAATAACTGATAAATAGAGAGATAATACATATTATTTTATATGCTTAACACTATAGTATAAGTCATATAAAATTCTAGAAACGTCGTAAAACTAACATACAAAAAAAGAGAAAGGAAGGTGTTATTTACTAGCAGGTACTGGATCGAAAATGTAAATAGTAAATAAAGCTCATACAAATTACTATATCATAGCATAATAAATTATTTATGGTTTGGTCATTACAATTCGCAACTGATTTATAATAGTTTTTTTTAGTGATTTGAGAGAATTTTTAAACTAATTTGAATTGATGTTTATAGACCATTTTAAACTTCATTGTATTATAAATATAAGGTATATTTATAATATAGTAATAGGTAATACTGGCTTGTGCAGAACTGTAATGTTTTTAGTAAACATATTCCTGTGACGAATTTACAAATTCTGTTGCCAAGGAAATAAAATGAGTACAGAAAATGTCATTCATTAGTAGTTGGTGTTACATAAAGTAAACGGTATTTATATATATTTAGAGCAGTGGTTCCCAACCTTTTTTCACAAATGGCCACTATGATATTTATGTTTTTAGCAGGGAAAACAAAGTTTAAGAACAATAAACTGTATGATTATTTTAATATGCTTTATGCATCTCTGGTATAATATGTAATAAATTGTATAAATGTGTAATGATTTGATAAAAGGTATAGGAACTTTATATGGCTATAAAATAGATATATAATTACTTAAAAATTTTTTGTGATTGTTTTTTAATAAGTGAGGTTTTAGTGGACAAACTACAAGCTATATATCTATACCTGTTAAATTTGATTCCTGAACCATTTTTAATCACCGATTGAGAACCGCTGATTTAGAGTTATTGAGCGTGACTTAAGTTGTATTGTATTTCAAAGTTTTTATATATTTGAAATCTTTTTTTAGATATTTTTTTTTTTTATAAAAAAATTGATATTTATTGTTTTTATTGATAGAGGGGGATAAAAAAAAGGAAGCCTAGTTTTTAGAAAATCGCGCATTTTTTAAAACCTTAAATCTGAATAATAAATACAAGTCAAAATTTGTCAGAGTTTTAAGGAATATATGAAAATGTTATACCTGTTTCGGGTTACTTATCAGTACCGTTAAGGATATTTTACTTGAATGAGTAAGTTTGTAAGTTTTAAAGTACTAAGTTTTTGTTTAAGGAGGCACAATTTTTTTTCTATATTTATATATGCTTTGTGTATTAACCAAATAAAATATGCATTTTTAATTAAAAATGATTAAATAATGTTTTTACAAAAGAATAGTATTAAAATTAACTAAAAATAAAAAATGTATCAGCAATGACTCTGAGCTTCTAATTTGACAAGACACGAGTTCAAAGATTAATATTTACAGTATCAAAAATTATTTACGAATAATTAAATCTAAAAAATAATTCCAAGGCCATTGAAAATTTGGGTATTTGGCAATACTCGGAACAACCGTATGGTCAGCAAAAATTCAATTCCTTAAAAATAATAAAAATTGTTGTTGTTACAATTTCACTACTGTTCGATAAAAATAGCCTTACAATCGAAAATTATAGTTAATATTAGAAACTTGATGTCTTTTGTTAAAAAAAATCTTTCAAATTGGCAGTCATTAAAATATGTTATTTTGGTTTTAAGATTAGGGAACACGTTATTCATGTTCTCAGGGACCTCAAGATTGATCCCATCAAAAAATACATAAAGGATAGAGCCCTGAAATTATTTGCGAAAACTGACAGACTTACCAACACCACGTTATCAAATCTCAGAATGTTTACAGGCTCCTCAGGGAGGTATGCAGATCTGAGGTCAATTATTGCTTAGTCTGATAAAGTGATAAACATAACCCAGTCAAGGTGTAAAGAGGGATTTTGAAAATACCTCGAGTTAAGAAAGAGTAAAAGTGCTCAAGTGCACTGGCTCAAATAGCTTCAACATAATAATAATAAACATATGAGTAAAATAGATTTAAAGTAAAGAAAAAGCAATGTAAAAAACTATGCGGAGTCTTATACATAGTATTTCTTAATAGTAATATTTAATTTAGAATTTAATAATTTAATTCACGTAATGATTTAATGTTATAGAATATATAAGGCATGTTTGAATCATTTTTATTTTAACTTACCTGGAAATCAGGAGTTTCCGGTATAAGAGCTCCCTCACGGAACCATTGAACACTTGTTGCCTTAACTTTACCAGTTACAGTTGTTTTAAATTGTGCTGGCATGCCCTCTGTTACTGAAATATCTTTTAGCGCTGTAATAGTAGGTGGAGCATCCAGATTTTCAATTGGACGCACCTTTAGTTGAGCACTGGTTTGTATGGTGCCCAATTTATTCTCGGCAATACATTTATAGGTACCTTCATCTTCTGGGAAAGCTTCAGAAATAACTAATTGATAGTATTCACCTTGTCGTGTCATTTGGAAATAGCGTGAGGGTTTGACAATATTTTCACCACGCATCCAACGTGCTGTTGGGGTTGGTTTACCTTCTACCCGACAGCGGAAGATAACTTTGGTACCTTCTTCAATTGACTGACTCTTGAGTTTTTCAACAATATGTGGAGCTTTTTCAGTTCCTGGTGTTGCTGGTTTTTCAGGTTTTGTAGGAGATTGAACAACGCAATCAGCATCACAACGTGCTTCACCAGCGGCATTAACAGCAACACATTCATATCGACCGGAATCCTCGGCAAAAGGCTCAATAATTAGCAAAGTATATAAACCATCTTCTTCTAACATTTTGAATTTAATGCTTGGTTGAACTTTCATACCGTTCTTTAACCAATATACATCCATTGGACGTGTGCCAGATACTTTGGCATCAAAACGTGCTAATTGACCAGTAGATACAGTAGTGCTTTGAATTGTGGTTACAAAGCTTGGTGGTGAAAGACCACCTTTACCAGCGCGGCGTCTTTCTTCTACAACTAAGTTTGCGCTACATTTGGCAGTACCACCTCGATTCTCGGCAATACATGAGAATACAGCTGAGTCCTCTACAAATACTTGACGTATTATTAAAATTGATTTACCGCTGAAAGTATGAATTTGCAAATCGGGTGAGCTCTTGATTGGGAAGCTTTCACGGAACCATTTCACAGTTGGCATGGGTTCACCATCAAATTCTACTTCGAATTTCGCGGATTCATTTTCAAATACACGACATGGTTGTATTTTTTTAGTAAATATTGGTGGTTTTGAGGGCAAAACTGGACCCTTTACTACACGTTCTTGAATGGTGCCTTTATGTTCAACTTCAGTTGTTTCTGTAGCGGTAATTTTTCTCGTTATTTCCAAATCACCTACAACCTCTTTTTGTGTCTGTTGTTGTTTATTCATGTGCACTTCACGTCCATGTACTGACGATTCGGATGGTTCTATTGGTGGCTTTTGCATAACCTTTTTGGTAGTAGCTTGAGTTTGCTGTGTTTGTTCTTCACTGTAATTTTAAATGCATGCGATATTACATGGTTTTAGATTTTTATTTTTATTTATATTAAACTTACAGATTTTCCTCATATGATTTGGCCATGCCTTTGGCCGCAGAGCTGCTGACAATCTTTTGTCCAGGTATGGCATATTGGTGAGTGTCCTTGCGGAAGTTGGTTTCTTTGAGCAATTGTTCTGTTTCCAATTCTTGTAATTTGCTGTAATAATCTTCACTTTTTTTGGCCAAAACATTTTGTTGCCAATCTGGAGCTTGAGGTTTAATTTGCTTTGGTTTTAAGTGTTCTACTCCTTTAAGTGTGGTACCACTTTGTTCGGCCAAATATTGTTTACGTTCATCGAACACCTTTTCAAGTTCATTCTCTTGACGTTCCTTCTGGTAGGAGGCTAGCTCATAATCATACCATGCTGTATAGATTTAATTTTTAGAACACATATAGGTTATCAAGTGGTTTGGTTATTTTAATTTCAAAGTGCATCAATTTAATAAAGATTATTCATTTTCGTTAAATTTTTGCATGCAATTAACATTTTATTATTTACATTGATATTTTATGATTTTGGAATTAATATAACGCATAAAAATCAATGATAATCAATGATTGGATATGATATAAAAACATACACGGTGAATATTTTCAAAATAATCTAATATAATCATCACACATATAAATGACAAATGATAAATCATCACAACAACAAAATTAAATATTTATTTAATCAATAAAGTTTTCAAACCATACTACCCATTACCGAATCCAACTGGATGCATCATCAACATCATTTTAAGCTTGTTATGCTCTAAAGTTGCGGTACCAAATACTACGACGTATTGTAAAAATTCTCAGTCACCAAAAGCGTCGATAAATAGATAGTAGAATAGGAATATTTGGATATGGATTTGGGATTAGAAAAGGTAACATATTTTGGATAATTTGTGTTTTTGTAGTTTGTTTCAATTCCTTCAGTAATATAATTATAATTCCAACAACTCGTGACTTAACTTAAAATATTTTTAGTGTTTTAGTAAGTGATTGGGTGTAAATTGTTGTTTAATATGGAATAAAGTAAATTTTTAATGTTTTAAAAGCTTAGAACTACTGAGATTGTGTGTATATACAATGCTCACTACATTATTGTTAAAGATAATTTTTAAAAATCTAAAATATAAATATTCACTAAATGTGTTTAATAAGCTATTAAATTTTAAACTTGTTAAATTTTTTTTCAAGAGCTGAAAATTATGGCCATTATATACTTACGGCGTGGTGAGTTCTTCAGGACACCTCTATAGTCATCGGATCGTGATACTACATTTAGTTCAGTTGTAGCAATAGATTCTCCAACTGAGTTACGAGCAATAACTTCAACCTTTCCTGTATCGTATTGGCGAGTTTTTGGAATATCCAAATGGAACATGCCATCATTAGTGAGCTTATACCGCGAACCCTTTAATTGAAGTTAATTAGTTTTAAAGTGTATCCATAATACATAGAAAAAAAATACTTACGTGAACAACAGTGTGTCCATTTATTAACCACATTACTCTTGGTCGTGGATGACCAGTGACGCGAACACAAAATCTTGCAGGTTCACCTTCTTCTACAGTTTGTGGCTCAATTTTGCTAACAAAAATTGGTTTAGATCTTGGTTTTGCATCTGGATCGACTTCATCTGGTACACTGCAAAAAAAGTTATTGCTAATTACATAGAAAAAATCTAAATGCTTGTTTTTAAAACTTACACTTGCCACGATGCTTCCATTTCGCGTATACGATCAATACTTTGCATATGTGCAGGCAATTGTGAGTCATAAATGATACTAGGCTTGCCAGCGACTTTAATAACTGCTCTGGTTTCATCCATACCATACAAATTAGTCGCGCGACAGACATACTCTCCACTGTCTTCTGGATAAACCCAACCAAAGTTCATGGCAACGTAGCCAAAGTCATAAATGGGTTGGAAACGTGTTTCTAAAAATATTTATTGTGTAAAAATCAAAAATGTGTGTGACAATAATTTAGATACTTACTATAGAATAATGGTTTACCATTAAAGAACCATTCAACTTTCATATTTGGATCACCAACAGGTGCTAATTGGCATTCAAATTTAGTAGAAGCCATTTCAGTTAAGGTTGTTTGGTCCTTAATTTGTGTAACAAATCGTGGTGGTTGTTTGCGATCAGGATCGAATAAGTCATCTTCAGTCAAATGCACTTCAGATGTATATTTCTTAATGGTTGCTTCCATTTGTGTAAGTGTTTCAGAACGTTTCATACCACGTGGAACTTGGTTTTGTAGCATAATCGATGGCAATTCTATTCAAACATATATGAGATGTAGTATTGATTTTAATATTATTCGCTTTAATTACTTACTTTTGCATGAAATAGTTGCTTTTGTGCGTGCTTCACCATATTTGTTAACTGCACGGCAAATGTATTCACCAGAATCTTCAAAATAAACATACAGTATGTCAAGTGAAACATAGCCCATATCAAAAATATTTTTGTATCTGTGACCAGATGGTAAAGGTTTACCATTGCGATACCATTCCACATATAGGTTTGGATCACTTTTAGGTTCAACTTGACATTCGAAACGTATTGGTTCCGATTCCTCTACAGTAACTGAAGAAATTTCAGTTACAAATCTTGGTGGTCCAAATTCTTGATCTTCAACTTTAGGAGTTTCTGGTATACGTCCACGTTCCAATTCCTTTAGCTTCTCAGCTGTCATTCCGTCTGGCAATTGTGAGTCATATACAATATTATGCTTACCCTTGCATGTGACCTTTGCCGAAGTTGTAGCAGTACCCCACTTGTTTGTTGCACGGCATGTGTATTCACCAGAATCACGTGTATAAATGTAATCAATATCTAATGCAATAAAACCAAAATCATTGAGCTGATGTACTCGTGAGCCTGTCGGCATTGGTCGACCATTATGGAACCAATCAATTCGCATAGTGGGATCACTAACAGGTTCGACGCGGCAGTCAAAGTGAATTGGACCGCCCTCTGGAACATCAATGTTATCTTTAATATCTTCAGTGAATCTAGGTGGATTAGGTTGTTCTTCATCAATAATGATTTCTTCTCGTTTGTGCATATTTTCCTCAAGTTTTTGCAAACTTTCGGTTCCGGTGCGGAAATTAGATGGGAGTTGTGGTTCAACAATTATGCCTTGACGTCCCTTAACTTGTAATTTACAGGATACAGTTGCTTCTCCATGTTTGTTAGTAGCTTTGCAAGTGTATAAACCAGAATCTCTTTGATAACATCCAGCAATTTCTAATATTACAAAGCCAAAATCATTGATAGTCTTGATGCGTGAGCCAGACCACAATGCTTTGCCATTGTGGAACCAGTCCACTCTCATGCTTGGATCATTAACTGGTTGTAGACGGCATTCAAAGTGAGCTAAAGAATTTTCATTAATAACCATATCGAAGGGTGTTGTAATAAACTCTGGTGGTTTTCCAGTATCATCATCAGGTACGAATTCGTTACCACGAATTCCAAGTCCTTCTAATTCAGCAATACGATCAATTGTACCCTCCATTCCCTTTGGTAGTTGTGATTCCATAATAATGCTACGTTTTCCTTGAATCTTCATTGTTGCTGTAGTAACAGCTTCACCATACTCATTAATAGCACGGCATGAGTATTCGCCTGAATCTTCTGGATATACTGGAGAAATTTCCAAAATAACGAATCCAAAGTCACAGAAAGTGCGGAAACGTGATCCTGCCTTAAGAGGACGTCCGTTCCAATACCATTCAACTTTAAGCCTTGGATCATCAGTTGGTGTAACACGAGCTTCAAAGTGAGCATTTTCTCCTTCACGAAGATTTTCTATATTTTCTAGAGGAACAGTAAATACTGGCGCTTTGCCTTTTGTTTCTTCGGTAGTTTCATCACGAGTTCGTACCATACTGTACTCTAAATTAGCAATTTTTTCCAAACCACCTTCCATGCCCTAAAATAAAGGATTTTATATATATATTATTTAGAATTTTTAATGTCATGGACTTAAAATATACTTACACGTGGTAATTGTGAGTCCAAAATTAGATTGGCTTTCGAAGTGCACTTAAGTGTAGCACGGGTAACATCTTCTCCATATTTGTTAACAGCACGACACTCATAAACACCAGAGTTTTCTTCATAGCAATATAGGATATCCAATATTACAATACCAAAATCGTGGAAAGTGCGGAAACGATGTCCGTGTGGGAGCTTTTTACCATTAAAGTACCAATCAACTTTTAGATCTGGGTCTGTAACAGGAGTCAAACGAGCTTCAAAGTGAGCACTTTGTCCTTCGACTAACTTTGTAATATCACTAATTTGTGTGATAAATTTAGGTGGTTCTGTTACAATTGGAGCACTAGTATCAGCCTGTCCACCTTGTGGGCATTCCAATTCCCGAATTCTCTGTAAAGAATCAGGTTGCAAGCTGTCGTAAAATACTCCACCGCGACCACGGCAATTAAGAGTAGTTCTTGTGAAGTCTTCACCATATTTGTTATATGCTCTGCACATATATTCACCACTATCATGGTCTTGTAAATAAGCAATATCAAGCACAACATATCCGAAGTCTGATACTGTTTTAATACGGTTTGAATGACGCATAAGTTTTCCGTTATGGTACCATTCAACTTTTAACTCTGGATCATTAACTGGTATTAAAGTACATTCAAAGTGAGCAGATTGGCCATCCTTAAGACCCTCTAGAGGTTGTATATGTGTTGTAAAGCGTGGTTTTTGACCTCTAGGTTTATCTACACATTCCAAAACACAGCTAATTTCAGCTGATCCATATTTATTTGTTGCGCGACATGTATAAGTACCGGTATCTTCAATTTTTGTGCCAAGAATTTCTAAAGCAACCATACCAAAAGCGTATATTGTACGAACTCTATGACTAGCTTCCAAAACTTTTCCATTAAAGAACCATTCAATGACCATACTTTGGTCTCCAGTTGGTATTAAATTAGCTTCGTAGTGAGCAATTTCGCCCTCGCCAACATCTGTTATATTAGTGAATTCAGTAGTGAAACGAGGAGCCATTCCCTCCTCTGGTTTCTCAGGTTTGGAACCGTCTTTTCTTAGCGATTCTTCAAGGTCTTGAATTTGTTCTAAACCTTCTGCGCCTTTAGGATGCTGAGTTTGTTCAATTATATTTTCCTTGCTGGTACAGAAAATGGTCGTTGAAGTAAATGCTTCCCCGGCTTTGTTATAAGCTTTACAAGTATAAATACCTTGATCGCGAGCATACATTTCAATAACATCCATTGTAACAAAACCAAATTCAGTAGTCATTTTGAAGCGTGAGCCGTGTTGTAACAGTTTTCCGTTGAAGTACCATTCAATAAACAAATTAGGATCTTCTTTTGGTTCTACATTTCCTTCCAAGTGAAGCGCTTGAGCTTCAGAAAGATGGAACTCAGCTTGTAAGGGTCTTGTCCAAACTGGGGGAGGATAATGGGTTTCTGGTTTTGAAGCTTGTCGGTTGTAACGATTTGCCAAAGCTTCTTCAGTTTCTTGAACAGCTTCTAAACCTGCACTACCTTGTGGATGTTGTGTATCGAAGAACATTGTCTTTCCTCCAGTACATTTTAGGGTTCCTGACGTGGTTGCGAAACCTCTGCTGTTTGTTGCTTTGCATGTATAAATTCCACTATTTTCAGCATATGTATTACTTAAGTCTAATGCGCAATAACCAAAGTCGTAAATTGATTTGAATTTAGCTGCAGCTTGCAATGGTTGTCCGTTATAGAACCATTCGATCTTCATTGTAGGATCTCTTGCTGGTTCTACAGTTGATTCGAAGCGTACATTATCACCTTCCTTGCATTCGATATTATTCAAATGAGTTATAAACACAGGTACTTCATAAGCTGGTTCTGGAGCTTCTGGGCGTCCTTCTTTAGGTGCTTCAAGAGCATCTATGCGAGGTAGTGATTCTGGATGTAAAGATTCTCCTTGCAACCAATGACGGTCTTCAATTTTAAGACTGCAAGTAGATACAGCTTCGCCTACCTGGTTAGTTGCTTTACAAGTGTAAATAGCTGAGTCGTCACCGCGTAAGCCATTAATAGAGAGAGTAACCAAACCAAAATCGAAAGTACTGCGAATACGCGCACCAGTTGTAAGTGAAATACCATTTTTAAACCACTCAATACGTAAGTTAGGATCAGCACGTGGTTCAACTTGGGCTTCAAGTAAAACATGCTGGCCTTCGCTAAGTTTATCGTAACTTTGCAGATGAGTAGTGAAAACAGGAGCTTGTTGTGGTGCAGAATCAACGAACTTCTCTGGTACGCGATTCATGGCAGCTTCCTTAAGCCGAATAGCTTCCCAAGATTCTGGAATTAAAGGCTCCCCTGAAATATTAGATTTAGTTTTGACTTTCATTGCAGTTGATGATACTGCTTCACCAGCAGCATTGTAGGCGCGGCACATATATACACCAGCATCTTCTGGTACAACAGAATTAATATCAAGTGTGACAAAACCGAAATCATGAGTGGTACGCAAACGTGAACCCATCTTGAGTTCTACACCATTAATGTACCATTCAAATTTAAGAGATGGGTCACCAACTGGTACTACCCGAGCTTCAAAGTGAGCATGTTGACCTTCCCAAACTTCAGATGGGCCCGTTAATAACTGTGTAAATATAGGTTTCTCGAAAGCACGTTCTGGTTCTTCAGGTCGTGGAGCTGCTGGTCGTTCTAGTTGATGGATACGGCTTATACTGTCTGGATGTTGTGTATCCATTAATATATTGGCTTCACTTACCACACGCATAGATGCAGTAGTAACAGCTTCGCCAAGAGGATTAACAGCTCGGCACATATAAACGCCTTCATCTTCTTTACGAATATGTGATATATCCAAAGAAACATAACCAAAATCATGTTGCTTAGTAATGCGAGAACTATCTTCAATAATCTTCTCATTACGGTACCATTCCACTTTAAGATTAGGATCACCTACTGGAATAAGGCGACATTCGAAGTGTGCAGTTTGGTGTTCATTGATGCGATCAATATTTTGCAATGGTTGAGTGAATACTGGTCTTTGCCTAGTTCCAGGGGTTTCAACTTCTGGACGTTGGAAAGGAGCATTTGCTTCAAGTTTTCGAATTTTTTCCAAGCCTTCAGGATGTTGGGTATCAGATATGATTGTACCACGCGCAATGACACGTAAGTTTGTAGAAGAAACACATTGTCCAAGTGCGTTTACTGCACGCACTGAGTATTCGCCGGCATCTTCAGCAACGGCATGAGTAATATCGAGGGATACATATCCAAAATCAAAAGTAATATGGAAACGAGATGCAGACGGTAGAGGTTTTCCATTGTGATAGAATTCAATGCGCAAGTTGGGATCGTGAACTGGTTGAACTTGTGCTTCAAAGTGAGCTGTTTGGCCTTCGTAGATTTCGGCAGGACCACGTAATTCTGCGGTGAAATGTGGTGGACTTAGTGGTATATCACCAACTTCTGTTCTAGCTGGTGCTGCCTTTGACTCAAGTTTTTGAATTTTTTCTAAGGCATCAGGATGTTGAGTATCAAGGATCATGCTACGGCGATTTAACACACGAACGTTACAAGTATTTACTGCTTCACCAAGCAAATTAGTAGCTTTGCACATGTAAGTGCCGGTATCCTCACCATATACGTATAAAACATCTAAGGCAACGTATCCGAAATCATGGGTAGTTCTGAAACGATGACCTAATGGAAGTTGCTTTCCATTGCAGAACCATTCAATCTTTAGGTTAGGGTCATTTATTGGTTCAACTCGACACTCTAAATGAGCATGTTCACCTTCTTTAAGATGTTCCAAATTGCTTAAAGGAGTAAGGAAAATTGGTTTCTGTCCACGTTCCTCCACCACAGGTTTTTGTGGGGGTGCATAATTTTCCAGCTGTCTTATTTTTTCAAGACGCTGAGCATCAAGAGTATCGAGATCCAATGTCTTATTTGCTAAAATAAACGCAATATATATTAATTTAAAATTTAAATGCTAATAATAATTTAACATTATTAATATTACCTGTTACGTTTACAGCACAAGTCGTGACAGCTTCCCCTACTGCATTCTTAGCCTTGCACATGTAAGTACCAGTATCTTCAGCATGTGCGTATAATAAATCGAGAGCAACAAAACCGAAATCGTATGTTGTTTTGAAACGATGCCCAGTTTGTATTGGTCTGCCATTGCAGTACCATTCAACTTTCATTGTTGGATCATTAACTGGGGTTAATGTTGCTTCCAAATGCACAGGGCTGCCTTCATTTACATTTGCATTACGTAAAGGACGACCGAATTGAGGACGTTCAGCCATGAATTGATCTTCTTCGATTTTCCTTTGGTAGCGAGATTCGTCTTCAAGATATTGTATTTTTTGCAAAGCCTCTTCATGTTGGGTGTCTCTGATAATTGAAGATCTGGATTGTACATTTAAGTTAATTGAGTTGACAGCTTCTCCTAAATTATTTGTTACGCGGCAAGTGTATTCGCCACTATCTTCAGCATAAACAGTGAGTACGTCTAAAGCTGCAAAACCGAAATCATAAGTTGTACGGAAACGATGACCGGTGTTTAATGGTTTTCCATTATGGAACCATTCCACTTTGAGATTGGGATCGGGATATGGTTCAATACGGCATTCGTAATGAGCACTTTGACCTTCCACTAAGTTTGTTGGTCCAATCAACTTAGTAATGAATCGTGGAGCCTGGGTAACAACATAATCTTCCTCTTCACGTCGTTGGTATTTACTGTGATCTTCTAGTTGATGAATTTTGTGCATAGCGGCTTCATGCTGTGTTTCCATTTGAATAGATGTTTTTGATTGTACAATAAGCGAAGCTGATGTCACCGCTTGTCCAAGCTCATTAACAGCACGACATGTGTAAGTGCCAGAGTCTTCTGGATTAACATACTTCATGTTCAAAGCAACATAGCCGAAGTCATGCATAGTTGTCGTTCGATTTGAAGCTTCAATAGGTTGGCCATTACGTAGCCATTCGACTTTTAAGTGAGGGTCGCCAACAGGAATCAATCGAGCTTCAAAATGAACTGCCTGTCCTTCAGCAACGCGCACATCACGAACTGGCATTGTAAAAACGGGTGCTTGGCTAATAGTTTCTTCTTGAACACTTAAACGTTGACGTTTGGCAGAACTTTCCAGATGTTGCAACCGTGGTAGAGCGCTTTCGTGTTGTGACTCCAAATAAATGGACTTCTTTGTATGAACAACTGCTACAGCTGATGTTATTGCTTCACCTACTGCATTAAAAGCACGGCAAGTATAGCTTCCAGCATCCTCAGGTAAGCACGACATAATGTCCAAGGCCACAAAACCGAAGTTGTTTGTTTCAGTAAAACGAGAACCAGATTTAAGCGGCATGTTGTTATGATACCATTCAACACGCATAGATGGATCTGACACCGGAATCAAACGACATTCAAAGTGAGCTCGTTGATTTTCTTTTATTTCAATATTTTTCAATGATGTTGTAAAAACAGGAGCTTGTTTAGTAGTTTCGTCTACTTCTTCGCGACGGCTGTACCGTGAACGATCTTCTAAATAGTGAATTTGTTCTAAGCCTGTCTCGTTTTGAGTAACAGTTATGATTTGTTCAGAACTTCTGCATTGCAATTCTACACGGGTTTCATCTGATCCAATAAGATTCACTGCGCGGCAGGTATAAACTCCAGAATCTTCAGCAATCAGATCAACAATATCTAACGCTACATAGCCAAAATCATGAATTGGTCTAAAACGATGACCAATAGTTATTGGACGACCATTTTTGAACCATTCAACTTTTAGATTCGGATCAGTTACTGGTTCAATTTTACATTCAAAGTGAGCATGGCCACCCTCTCGGGTATTGGTTAAGCTTTTAGGGTGAGTTAAGAAACGAGGTTTAATATTGACTATCTCATCTACATACTCACTTCGGCGATACCGTGAAGAATCCTCTAAATAAGCAATCTTTTGCAACCCAGACTCATTTTGAGTTTCTAATATCAAATCGTTTTTAGCAATAATGCGTACAGAGGAAGAAGTAACTGCTTCACCAAGTTGATTTCTTGCTTGACATGTATAAATTCCTGAATCGATGGCATAACAACCGAGCAAGTCAAGTGCCACATAATCAAATTCATACGCAGGTCGGAAGCGATGACCAGTTTTTATTGGTTTGCCATTTACAAACCATTCAACACGCATACTTGGATCCCCAACTGGTTGTAAGCGGCACTCTAAATGAACGTTAGTACCTTCAATTGTTTCAATGTTATGCAAGGGACGTGTAAATTGAGGGGCTTGCATCACTGTCAAGTCTTCTTGTATTGGGTGATGACGACGTGAAGCGTCTTCAAGCAACTGTATTTGTTCGAGAGACATTTCGTTTTGAGTTTCGGTAACAACATCTGATCTATCAATTACACGAACACATGATGAAGTATGTGCAGAACCTAAATGATTTGTGGCACGCACGGTGTATTCACCAGAATCTGCAGCTGTAGCTTGAATTATGTCAAGAGCAACAAAACCAAAATCGTAATATGTGCGGAAACGTGATCCAACTGTAATAGGGCGCCCATTGTGGAACCACTCTACCCTCATGGTTGGATCACCCATTGGTTCCAAACGGCATTCCAAATGAATATTTTTACTTTCATGAATTGGTTTCTGGTCAGACAATGGTTGAGTGAAAATAGGTTTAGATTTAGATATTTCCTCAATATCGTAATGGGGTTCTACAAACGGCTTATTTTCCAAATTTTGTGTTTTTTCGTATAGTCCACGATGCATGCTGGATGTGTCAATGCTGGAACGTGCTATTGGAGAAATGTATTTTATAATAAATAGTATATATAAACAGTTAAAACAAATTTCTTACTTTCTACTACCATAGTTCCTTGTAATTGTGCTTCACCCAGCTTATTTCTAGCTACTACTGTGTAAACACCAGCATCTTCAGCTCTGACTTGCGAAATATCCAAAGCAACATATCCAAAGTCGTAGTACGTTTGGATGCGATTTGCAGCTGAAATTGCGCGACCGTTATGATACCACTCAATGTGCATACCCAAGTCGCTTTGTGGTTCAACACGTGCTTCAAAATGAGCTCTCTGTCCCTCTAAAATCTTATTTGTTCCTTTCATTGGTCCTAAGAAACGCGGCATTTGAGTAACTTTCGTTTCCTCTTCTTCAGTACGTCCATAACGAGAAGAGTCTTCTAAATGTTGAATTTTTTCTAAGCCACCTGGATGTTGAGACTCAGATACAATTTCTTTCTTTGATATTACACTTAATTGAGCAGAAGTTGTATCTTGACCCATCGCATTATATGCTCTACAAGTATAAGTACCGGCATCGTAAATAGTAAGTTGCTTAATAGTCAAAGCAACATAACCAAAGTTGAAGAACGTCGTACTGCGCGAGCTGGCTTCTAAAGGTTGGCCATCTTTAAGCCATTCGACACGCATTGTAGAATCGCCGATTGGTTCAAGTCTTGCTTCAAAATGTGCATGACCACCTTCACGTAAATCCAATTGGTTTAGAATTGGCGTTTTGAATTTTGGTGGTGCAATTGACTCTGGTGCTTCTCGCACTTGACGACGTTGTTGCGATCTTCTGTAATCTTCTAATTCTTCTACCTTTTCAATATAACGCTGTTGTTCTGGAATACCCAAATCAGCAGTTACTTGCGATCGTGAAATTACACGAATGTTCGATGAACTAATGGCTTCACCCATACGATTTACAGCGCGAACTGTATACGAACCAGCATCTTCAGCTCTTAGGTGCAAGATGTTTAGGGAGACATAACCAAAGTTAAAGATTGCTGTGATACGTGAGCTCGCAGTAATGGGACGACCATCTTTATACCATTCTACACGCATTGATGGATCATTGACTGGTGTCACTTGGGCTTCGAAGTGTACATTTTTACCTTCTTCGAACTCACCCAAATCTTGTAGTGGACGTATAAACACAGGAGCCTGTTTCATAAGTTCTTCTGTGCTTTCTTGTCGCTGATATCGTGAATAGTCTTCCAATTGACTTATATATTGTAAACTATTTGGATTTTGTGATGTTTTTTCAATTGAAGGACGTTGAGATATAGATATAATGGCTCGTGATTCAGCTATACCACTTGCGTTGCTAACACGACACATATATTCTCCTGCATCATGAGCCATAACGCTTAGAAGGTCAAGTCCAATAAAACCAAATTTAAACACAGATGTTGTACGTGCACCTTTAATATAAAATTATATTTGTAAGACTAAAGTTATCAGTTATTTTACTATAAATCATACTTGCTGCAAGAGGCTGTCCGTTAAGGAACCACTCTACAACCATGGTTGGATCTCCAACTGGTTCAATTCTAGCTTCCATGTGTACTCTACCACCTTCGATCTGTTGCACATTCTGCAAAGGTATTATGAACTGTGGTGGTGGATAGACCCGATCTTCTTCTCCTGGACGCAAATGTGGCTTGGCCCTTTCTACGTGTCGGAGATATATTATTTCAGGACCAGGTATAGGCCTAAAAATAGTATATAATTATAATTTTTTTTAAAAATATATTTCTATATGATAAAACTTACTCTGGCTCAATTATTTTTGTTGGACGAGGTAAATTAAGACGTCTTTGTTCGTGTTGTGGTTCATCTCTGGGAACTTCAACATAAAGTCTTGCACGATTAGCAGTTGAACCAGCAATATTTTGGGCTGTGCATTGATACCAACCAGCATCTGAAGCTTTAACTCGCGGAATTTCCAAACATGTTGCTCCACCATCAATGCCAACAAAGCGATCAGCTGTTGATGTTATTTGAGCGCCATCTTTTTGCCATGTAATTCGCGGCATTGGTGTTCCGATGGCGTTTGCGCTCATTGCAATAGGCTCGCCTTCTCGAACAGTCATTGTACTGAAACGTTGCACAAATTGTGGTGCGACAACTTGTTCTCGTTCAAGTACATTAAGACGTGCTTCAATTGCTACTTCTCCAGCCTTGTTACGAGCTAAACATTGAACAGCACCTGCATCTAGTCGGCTAACATTAGTGATCATAAGTGAATGACTGCCAGATTCATTAACTAAAATTTTATGGGAAGTATCATCATTTACTTGACGTCCATTAATGAACCAGAACACTTCTGGGTATGGATTTCCTGTTACACGGCAATCAAAACGCGTCATACGGCCTTCTGTAATTTCGCGATCAGCAAATGCCTTAACGAACATTGGTGGCAAAGCTTTACCGGATTCCAATTGCTCAGCCATATTGTCTACAGGTTTTGGTTCATTTGCAGATTCTGCGGCAGGTTCAACTGCTAAAACAGCAGACGAAACAACACAACCTTGTGTATTTTCTGCAAGTAAAGTGTAGTGTCCACCATCTTGTATATTAGCATTCTTAACACGCAAAGTGGCCAATCCATTGGAGTACGATATGTCGTATTTCTGAGATGGCACTAATCGCTGGCCATTACGGAACCACGTTAAACGTGGTTTTGGATTAGAGCCTACTTTAGCAGTGAATACAGCATCTGAACCTTCAATTAACTTAGAGTTCCTTGGTTTTTGTGCAATTTGTGGTGCATGGGCAGGACCCAAGGAACGATCTACTTCTTGAACTAAATGATAGTCTTGTTCATAGGAGGAACGGCGTGTTATAGCCTCTCTATACGATACTTCACGTAGAAGTCTGTATTCAAATGTGTCTACACGAAATTCCTCTTCCGTTGAGGTATATGAATATCCATTCGTATATATGGATTTGTCAAATGTTTGTACAGGCTTTATAACCGGCGAAGGAGCGCCTTCTGGCTGTATATATACACTGCAAATTGCTTCGCCATATTGATTACGAGCAGTGCATGTATATTCACCTTCATCGCCAGGCCCAATTTGATTTATCAAAAGTGAAACTTCTCCAGTGGCTTCATTATAAGACATACGAAACTTTTGTGACTCAAGAAGTGGTGCGCCTTTTCGAGTCCATGTTACGAATGGCTTTGGATTACCACGGAGTTTACCTTCAAATAAAGCATTACCTCCTTGGGCAAAGCGAGCATTTTTAAAGATCTGTTCAAAAATTGGTGGTGATATATCGCCTTGTGCATACACGTGTGTTAGTGCTGGTTGGATGTACGTGCCACCAACCCCTCCATGTTGTTCAACTATAAATATAAGACAATAAAAATGTTTTTTGTTATAAAACGAATTAATATAAAGTAAAAAATATAACAGCAAACAATATTTTTTGTTCAAAAATATTTTTAAATAATTTTGTTGTTCAAAAGTATTTTTAAATATTAAAAAAAAATCCCACTATTTTGTGTTTTTAAAAAATTTTATATTTAGTTGTAAACAATTTTAGCTCTAAAAATAATTTTGACAGTAAGAAATTTTTTTGTTTAAATAGTGGGAAATGTAATGTAAACAAAATCTTCGTGGGTATTCGTGAAAAGTTTCGCGATTAATTCTCAGAGAGATGAAGAATTAACATAATCTGAAACTTCTTGCGCATGACGATAGGGTATTTTTTCGAGATGTCTTAACTAGCCTATAAATAGTTTTTGGAGCATTCAGAAATCACACAAAGAAAACATATGTTTTTATATTTATATCTACAATAGAAGCAAAGAAAAATATAGGTTAAGTGGTGACTGATCTACAACAACAAGCAGTTGGTATATGTACTATATGTACATAGCTCCTAACTTTATATATGCTTTTATTTTTAATTTAATTAATATATATTCAAAATTCAATATAATTAGTAATTTGTTGAAAATATAAATTATATATAATAAATTTAGGTGGTGATTCTTTAGTATAATAAAAGAAAAGTCTGTATAAGCTTCAAAATAAAAATGTTAACAATTTTTATTTTGATTTTATATATATAACAAAAAATTCAAACTCAATGTGTTAGAATAACAAATGAGACACCAAATTGGAGAATATTTAATATATTTCTATCACTTTTTAATTTGCTTTGATATTGTGTATTTAATTTAACATTGAAAGTTAATATTTGACACCCATTCGATCTGTGTCGTTTCCTAAAGCAAGGAAAGAACTTTATTTTGCTCAGTTTATTTGTACACAATAAATTCAGGAGACTTCTATTTCAATATATAAAGATCTTAATAAAAAGTTTTTATATATAAACTAAAATCTGGAATATTTGTTTGTATACACAATTTATGATATGTCCGTGGAAATTGACTTTCGGTATTGGAATACCTTAAGATAAAACTCTTTCTACTACTTTGATATGGGTTTTAAGTTTTGCTTACTTTTACCTTATTCAAATGGCGAATTTTACTCACATTAGTTATTAATATAGAGTATTAATATAGTATATATCATGCTTGAAAGTTCAGTTCCAAGCATGATTCATAATTAAATATCTTATATCTAATATAGATGTGTTATATCTAATACAGATATCTTATATCTAAAATAGATATCTTATATCTGCTATAGATATCTTATATCTACTATAGATATCTTATATCTACTATAGATATCTTAAATCTAATATAGATATCTTATATCTAATATAGACATCTTACATAGTAAATTTGAAAACCTCTCTGTACTTTCGACATTTCTGTAATCTGAACAACACCTACGTCATAATGGCCAGGATTATCGAAGTATATTGTATATTGAAATATTCTTTCAAACATGTTGGTATTATTACTATTGAATAACAAGAATAATATAACTTGTTTAAAAGAATATAGACCATAATATTTAAAGATGGTAGGGGAATCAGAATTTTAGGTATAAACTTTTACAACTTTTTGTTTGTAAATATAAGTACATAGGTAAACGTAAAAAAATTATCAAAAATTATTTGAAAGATATATAAACCATTTATATATATTTTTAAAAATCTAGAGTATTGGTTAATAAAAGTTAACTAAACAGATTTTGTACATATAAAATATTTAACACAGAAATTAGCAATAGATTTTTTGGACCAAATTCATTATTTTTGTATTATCTAAAATATGATACCACCGGGATAGATCATATAATCGTTAAGTAGACAATAAGCAATGCAAAAAGTATGCAATAAGAACTGGTTCCCTGTTTATGCAAGAATAAGAGATCTAAAACAATATTGAAGGATATTATAGATTATCTTAATAAATAACAATCGATCATACAACATAAATAATATTAAAGTTCATAAAATGTGTCCAATTTATTATTTCTATAATCAATTTAAAGAATATATAGAATTTTCATTAAAAAAATTTAAGAACTGCAAAATTTACAATAAACTGTTGTGTTGTGGTTGTATTTTTATGTTAGAGTATAAACTGAATTTATATTTATATTTACTATTTATATTTATTTTATTATTAATAATTTAATTTATTATATTTATATTTTATATTTATTATATTTATAATTTATTTTTATAATAATGAATTTATATTTATATAAATATAATCTAGTTGTAAACTAAATAAAGCTAATTTAGTTCTAATTAAGTTCATATTTTTAATAATAAAACAAAAAAATAATCATATGTAGGGTATTTTCGGGGAACGTTCTGTAAGAACTAAGAATGTTCGCAATGTAATAGGGTATTAACATAGTATACCGAAAATAAATAAAATGTAAAAAGTGTTAAAGAAGTTAAAAATAAATTATTGAGAATTTTTTAAAAATACCAATTTTGAACTATTATATTTCATTTCATTTAAATATATAGAATTATTACATACCAAAATAATGATCAAAAAAACGAGTATACATACGAAATTTTATTTGAATTAACTATTTTTAAGATATTAGGATTTTTTGATCGAGTGTTGTTAAGTTGAAGTGTTACTTTATGTTAATAGTATATTCTTTGATATATAGTATCTCCGTAAAGACTGAAATTCGCCTCAATTAAATCTTATTTCTTGAAAGGAGGAATTACTTTTTGCTGTCCAATGGCTTTTCTTATTTTGTTTAATAGAAAAAATTAAACATATTATGAAATGAAATTATAATATATTAATATATACATACATAATACATACAGTATGTAATGTTAACATTTTTGTTCACATAATATAGCACTCACGTCTACAAGTGTTTGAGATTTCGAGCGAGCCCTGTATTTTCTATTATTTATATTATTATAATTTTTATATCCTTAATAACTTTTATTCCATGCACATAATATCTAGTTTTTTCGTAGATTGGAAATGTTTAACAAGTAAAATAAAATATTTATAGTCGTATGTAGCAATATGTATATATGTTATTATGTAGTAATTGTTTTTTAATATACTTATAAAAATATTAATACATTGTATATCTAAATATATAAATTTCAGAACCTTTACTTTTATATATGAATATTTCATCAAATTATTCATACATACACCTCCTTAAGATTAAAAAGGTCATGGCACCTATTAGTTCGAAGTTCGAACATCATTAACCGCTATTATAATAAAGATTTCATTCTATATGATGATTAGAATTAAAGTTATATATTTTATTATATTATTTCATTCTTTTATTGTTTTTATATCTTAGCAATTTGTTGCTAAATAATAAAGTCTATCAATTTATTACATTTATCAGATATGTATTGTCTATTCTTTTTAATAGGAAGATATGTAAAACTTTTAATAGAAGAATTGTTGTTATTGGTGCTGCATTATTTATAAATATGTCTCTGTGACTGATTTCAATATCACCTTATTCCTCATTGAAATATAAGCCTTATATTAGCAACTTATTATTGTCACTTGGCATATGTTAACTATTATTATTAGTACTTGTTAACATATAAAATGAGGAAACTGAGGGCACAAAAATGAAATGATAGCTGATTGATCATACAGTACCCAAACCAAAAAATTATAGTGCTCTGCAAGCTCTTCATTTCAATCCTAAATGTAGTCAATGACATAAGCGACTAAACCACTAAATGAGTACGAAAAAAACAGTCAATGTTAGCTAGTTGCAAAATTTTAACATTGTAACCAAAAATTTTCTATTCAATGGTTTTGTTTTTGAAAATGATATATTTTTGTATTATGACAATTTTTTATTTATAAATATTACATATCATAGTGCCCGATATGCGTTAAATTAAAATATGTTTTTTTGACTAAAAATTAGGATTCAACTAAAGTTATATTTGAGATATTGTAAATAGTTGCGATCTAAATGAATATTGAAAATCGATCATCGATCATTTAATCGATCATCAGACCAATGAATCAACTGCCGCGATCAAACCGTGTTGGTACGGTACATCGTGTATCAATTGTAAATTTTGGAAGAGATTATTGTTAAAATAAACTAATTAAAAAAAATATTAATTAATATTTTTTTATAAAGTATAATTTCAATTAAAATTAATTTCATAAAAATTAAAATAAAATTATATTTTAACTTTTATAAATATTTTTTTACTAAATTAAGATTTTCTTAATTTGTGTAGAAATTAAATCAATTGTAAATAACCTAATTTTAAATATGATAAGTGTAAAAATATTCGAATTGTGTGAAAATATTTTAATCTTTAAACTATTTTTGGTTTTTAAAATGGGTTAAAATTGTTAATTTTTATATTTTCGTTTTCATAATTCTATAAATTATGAAAAATTCTGCTATTATACTTTTAAAAATATAAATTTTTGTTTGGGCTTTTAAATTTTTTTTGTTTTATATTTAGGCATAGAAAATACCCACGACTGTTTTTTTTTTAAATTAAAAAAATTTCAATATAACTTGTATATTTTAAAAATAATAAAATTTTGAAATATTGAAATTAGAAAACTACCCTTGAGAAAAGGTTTCTTTAGCTATATATTCAATATTGTTAATATCTAATATAATATTTAATGCTTGACATTAAATGCTTTTTTAATGATTGACACCTAATAAAACAATATAAAAAATTTATTATATATCTTTACTTTACTAATGTTATTTAAAAAATAGTATTTACAAATACATATATTATTTTTTTTATAAAAGATTTAACTATTCTTTGTTTTAGCTACTTTTAAAATTTTTTTCTTCAAAATTACTTAATAAATAAAATAATAATAAATAAATATAATATAATATAATAATATATAAATATATATATATTAAATAAAATAAATATTTAAAACACAAAAATTATATATTATTACTATTTCTAGCAATAATTAATTTAATTTATATTAAATTTATTCTACCATATAATGTTATCTATTTAATTACTTTTATACAATGTTTTTTTTAGAAAAATTACCTAATGAGGCGCATTGGTAAAAGGTAAGTAAAAAATTTCTAAATAAAGTTCTACATTTAATAAATTATACAAACTTCAACATATAGTAATTATGAAAACAATATACATTTTTATATTTAATAAATTATATAAATACTTAATATATAAATTATTATTTACCGGGCTTTCGTTTGATAGGTATTTTTATATCGTTAGTATTTATATAGTTATATATATAATAGTTTTATATTTTCATTTTTGTTTTTATTTAATTTTTGTTAATTAATTTATTTTTATATTTTATTCTTTATTTTATTTTATAAGTATTTTATAAAGAAATATATACTTTTTTTTTTTTATTTTTTTATTTTATTTTTTAGTTGAACACAATTATATTTTTTTCAATCAATAATGAATGCATTTTCATTATTTATTGGGAATTAAAGGTTTTTCAAAATATTTTCGGATTGCTTTTTATATTTTATTATTACACATTAAAAAATTATATATTATATATATAATTATGAATGCCAAGAAAATATTTTTTATAATTTCTTGTGTTTGGCTTTTTACATTCTAAATTTCAAAAACTTTAATTAAATTGAATTAAATATTTTTTTAAAATAACAGAAATAAAAACGCGTTGTTTATATATTTTATCTTCATTTTTTTTTAAATAAAATTAAATATATCATTAAAATATACTTAGTAAATACACAACGTACATAAAACGTTATTAATATTATTCAAATTTAGTTATTTCATTTTTTTGTCACATCGCAAAATTTTTTAAACACATATTTTTTCATTTCATTTTTCATTTTTCATTTTTTTACATTTTTAATGAAAATTTGACTAGCTTAAAAAAAAGAGTTTATAATTACAATTTTTTTAATAAAAATAAATTTTTGTTTTTTAATTTGTTTGCAAATAAATAAACAAAATTATAAAGGTAGTTTTGATTAATCGAAAATTATAAAATTTTAAATTTTATTAAAATACTCCTGCCATTATAATAAATTATTATTTTTATTTAATTATTATTGAGTTCATTTAAAAATTATTTAGTATTTTTTATTTAACATTAAATATTATTCAATTATTAATTATCATTTAATTATTAATAATTTTTCAATTATTAATATTTAATAAAATTTAATTATTAATTATTTTTTAATTATTAATTATAATTCATAATAAATTTTAATTTATTAAAGTTTTTAAGTTTTTTTATTAAAGTGTTTAAGTTTTTAATATTAATATTTTTTGATTATTAATTATTTTTTAATTATTAATTATTTTTAATTATTATTTATTTTTTAATTATTAATTATTTTTAATTATTATTTAATTATTAATTATTTTATGTATAACAAATAAATGTGTTTTTGTTTTAGTTTGAAAATAATTGTGATCAAATGAAGAAATGAATTTGTATGTATATATTTATCATACAAACTAATTTTCTTTACATATTTTTATAATTACTGGCCAATATATATTTTGTGACATTAGTATTTGTTTGTTTAATACTTTGTATTTAAATTTAATAATTGATTTGGGTCGATTAAAGCTTTTAAGAATAATTTTTAAATATATAAAAATTGGAATATGTGAATATATAGTTTTTCAGTGACATTGATTTCATTTTTGATGTAGACCCTAAGAAAACTATTTCCTCAAAGTGCATTATTTGTATAACTAATATAAGCCTTAAGCTTAAGCCTTAAGCCTTAAGCTTAAGCTTAAAACACTAAACTTTAAAAAGTCTACATGTAATAAAAATTTTATTATAAATAAAATAAAAATATATACTTTATATAAAATTCTTAATAAATTAATAGTAACTTATAAATAATCTAAGTGTTTAAAATGAGAAATACATTCTTATTCATAAATCATGTGATTAAAAATTACGACCTATTTATAGACCATTAGAAAAATGATTTTTATTTAACAATTAGACTTGAAAGTGGAGTTAGTTTTGTAAACAAAAAAGTCGTATAAACAAGAGAAGAGGATTCTAGTAATATTTTACCAAATCTTATTATTCGGTACTATTTCTTTTTGAAGAACTCAATTATTTTAAGCTGTCTACTGATAACAATTCAAATTAAAGTGTGGCTGTGTAGTTGTACAAAGCGATTCTTAATCCACGGTTTGAATCATTTTGCACAGAGCTATACGAATGCCCACACTTTTAGTGATATGGAAGGACAAAACACCAACTAACCTCGTTGTTGAGTCGTAACTTGACTCCTTTGAACATGGTGTTCAGTACGACTAATCCTTTGTTGCTGTTGTTGTTGAGTGGTAGAATATTGTTCCTGACTCATGTACTGTTGCTGCGATTGCTGTTGCTGTTGCTGCTGCTGTTGCAGCTGATAAGGATTCGTATTTCGTTGCATTATTATTCGTTATATAACACTATATTGCATTTAAAATTTGTATTCTGTGAACAATGCAGTTAGGAATCTGCAAGGTTTTAAATACACTGTTTAAAATACGTTGTTATAATTTTCTGATTATACTTTTGCGTTGTATTTTCTAGCTTATTTCTTTTAGGATTATTTATTGCTTTTTGTATTCTGAAAAATAAAATAATTTTTTTTTTAAAATATATTAATTTTGTTATCTCATAAAAATTTATATTAACAAAATAAATATTTTTCTTTATTGCATTTTTATGAGCACTTTTCACGTATATATCACTTAATATTTTAGAAATGATTTTTATGATTTTTTATATATTTTTAAATTTCATCTTTAAATTTTTTTTTTGAATGTTTTTTTGTCTGATATTTTATCGAAATTTATTCTATTTTAAAAATATTATTTCACTTTCTCTCTATCTTTTACATTTTTCTAGATTTATCAGCAAGGTTTTCTTTCTCATTTGCACTAGAAAATATTTTGACCGAACGGGTGACACACACACCAAAGCTTCTTAGTTTTCAAATTCTATTTTTAATCCCCTATGGACATGCATATAATATATTATATATATATATATAAATATGTATATATTCACATATATACATATACATGTGTGTATATATTATTATATATCATATATATATATATTTATATATACACATGAATTTTGTATATTATTTCATCATTATTTTTTATTAATTCAAAATTATTGTGACATATATGTATATTTTTAATTATTTTATTTGAACTTTTCTATAAAAGCAGTTCATTTAAGAATAATTTTAATAATTTATTTTAAGCAAATTATTTTTGCTTTATGTTCTTATTATTCACATTTTTTCAACTTTTAAATTATTTTAATGCAAAACCATTTCCCGTTAATTATACTGATAAATGATTATATTTATCCTTCAACCGACACGTTATCCTTTTTAGTTAGATTATATCTGAAGCGAATACGAATTAACACGATTAATATTGGGTGCGGACCGAATGTATAACCGAATGATTCGCCGACCGTTAGATTCTTTTTATAGAAATTCAGCGCAGCAAATTTTTTTTGCCAGTTGTTACGAAATCAAAAATTTTCTAAATTTTTCACACCACACCACGAAAATTTTTAATTTCAGTTATAATTTTCTTACTTTTTCTATATCCTTTGTGTTATCCTTTGCGACGTTATGATATAAAACTTTGTGAAAATATACGACACTTTTATAATATATTAATTTTCTTTATTTTCTTCTAATTATTATACACTCTATATACTATATATTAAAGATATATATATAAAAATTAATTTTAAATTCAAATTGGTTCAAGTCATAATCCCCGAGACTGAAACCAAGACGTCGATCGTTTTTAAGGTGCGAGCGAAGAATGAAAACACAATATGAATCCAATTGCGATCAAGTTGCACGAGAGCTAAAATTTTATATTCGTTTTCCTTCGGAAATTTATTTTTGCATTTTCCTTTAGTATTGTTGTTGGTTTTAGAGAAAAATTGGTTCGTGTTAATTTTGAAGAATTACTGGGTGTTTTTCACGAAAAGCCAAAATGCTTAGACTCTTAGTTTGATTAACAAAACAAAGAAATACATATTCGAATAAGTGTATTTCATGAATACAAATAAAACGATCTGAATAATCAAGAGCTAATTTAGTAAAAGATTATCTACTTAATGTAATATAGATATTTCTATTAACAATTCCTTTTATTTCGACTTTTTTTATTTAATTATCTACAGTTTATGTCAACACTATCGTAATATTATGCTAACCTAAATATACTTAATATAAATATGCTTGGCTTGAGAAACAAAATATTATAAATGTTAATGTTGTTTTTATTACTTGAATTATTAAATATTCGAATTATTCGAACAGTTCTAAGTATTGATATAAATGTACTCATTAGTTTGACTTTTCATAAAATGAACTTGTTGAATTTGCAGATACACGCAGCACAAAAGACGAGGACATCTAGTGTAGCTCTCTTGTTTAAGAATTTTCTCACTGCAAAGTATCGGAATTTTTCGGTACTAAGATGAAAACTAAAAATAAATCTTAATTTATTTTTGACACGTAATTTTTAACAACACTGCTGTGAAAATCATTTTTCACTAAGGACAACAGTGAAGTCACACGAAGAGAATCAAGATAATGATTTCATAAATTATAAAAAAAATTATTTTTAAGTTAAATAAAATGTTTAAAACATATTTCTTATATAAATTCAATTAGGTTTTCTTGGGTTGTTTACATTAATTTAACAAATATTAACTAATACAATATATGTGTCTATTACGATTGATAGGTTGTTTGGTTTTAGTGGTAGGCCATCAGATAATTTTCATTAATTAGCGATTTCTCGCCGTTTTGCTACCACATTCCTTACAAAAAACCTGTGAGATAGAAAACATACACTGAATCCATCCCATCAAATTTACATAATTTAATAGATCTTTCGTCTTTATTGATAAATAGTCTCATAAGCTGTGTTAAGAAATACCTCAATAAGCTCTTATTTCTTCTGAACGCCATGGCGCGCATTCACAGAGAAAGTGTTTTATAATTTACTTTCCCTGCAGGTTTCCACAACTTCAGTAGTAAGGATGTTTATCTACAGAATTCATTCATATTTATAATATTTAGGAAGAATTGTGAATAAATTTATGTGGTATATGCTGTTAAAATATTATATACCATTATTTAATATTATAAATATTGAAAACACATCGCTAAATATATGTTAATAACAAATAAACAAGACAGTGACTTCTTAACTGAACAGACGACAACGAAAGGGCAATTGATTGAGAATTTTCTAATATTGATCGAAGATAGCAATACGGCCTATAAATTTACTCAATCCTCTGATTATAGTCTGAAAGTAACAAGGAATGTGTATGCTTTTAAACGTTTAAAACTTGTTGAAGTGGAACGTAAATCAGGATGCTTTAGCAGATAATCTGCTAACAATCTGAACTCTGTTCTATTGAGAAGGGATTTTTTATCTCTTTAATGGGGATTCTCTTCTAAATTATGTTATAGAGGATCTCTCTCTATATTTATATCGAGATATAAAATATAATATTTTTAAAAAAACGGTACATAGATATGTTCTTTCTAAGTTTTATCATTTAAATTTAAGTTTCACTGTATTTCGTTTCTAAATCCTTCGCATTTGCTATGCAAGATATATACGTATATATGTATACCGATAAGTACATATATCTGGGTGTGCATTTTAAGATGTTCACCACACAGATCTTATTTTATTTGTAATGAAAAATCTTTAAAAAATTATTTTTCAACTTGTTGACCAACATTATTTCATTTCATTTAAATTTTATTAATTTCTTTTTTTTTTGTTATTATATTATCATGTTGCGGGGGCTTAACGAGCAGTGAGACATTATATATGTATAACAAAATTTTATGAAAAATATTATTTTTTCTAAGATTTTTAAGTTTGATTATTCATAGCATATATAATATATAAGATTCTTCTACAAAATGTACAGGTAGAAAGTATTTGAAATTGGCTATTTGAAAACTGGATGAAGCATATACTTAGTCATTTTTTATAATTAAAAAATTAAATTTAAAACAATTATTACTAAATTAATACAAATGAGAGATTTGTTTAATTTTTCAATAATGACGAATCAGTTGTAATTATATATAAAACAAGTGCACTGGCTCAAATGCCTTCAACATAAATATATATAAATTTTTACTACTTGTCACAACATTATATTTTATATTAATGTTTAGTAGTTACAATTTAAGTTAAAATTACGCATTTGCATTTTTTTATTTCCATTATATTTTCCTTAAAAGTACTTGGTTTGGTTAACATGTTTTTATTTAAAAGGAAAAAACTGAAGGTAATTAGCGTTAAAAATATTTAATTGAACTTAAAATTACTTATTTATGGTTTAGTCGAAATGTTGTTTAATACAAGGCCATTTTGGTGCCACAATTCTTGCTTTTCAAAATTGCATCCATTTTTATTAATGGAAATCATGAATTAAAATCAAATATAAATATTTATATAAACACAAATGCAGTTATTTAAAAATAAGGAAAATTATTGACATAAATATTACAGGAATGCAACTTTTGCTTATACGATTGTTTTGAGTTATGACATTTTACAGCACTGTAATATTAAGTAAAATTTGTCTATAACGTATTGGATTTGAAAAGTTTATTAAAATTTTCAGAAAAAAGAAATTTCTCCAAAATAATTGCGCAGAATGCATTCCAAAGTCTATTTTGTAATATTGCTAAGAAACTGTTTTTGATACGTATAAGCTAAGAATTTATATATATTCTTTCTATTATTTAAAGTTATTTAACGAAGTGTTCAAGTGTAAAGACAAGATTATAAGCTGTTACGCTATGTCGCTCATTTTTTAATTAAATTAATGATGTGAACAATATTCAGGTTCCAGATTTTACTGATTATCATCATCCATAGCTATACAGACCATGTAGGACCTAAGCTTGTTTTACGACATCTCTTCATTCTTTTCTATTTTTGGTTTTTATCTTTCAGTTGCTGACATTCATATGTATCAGATCTTGTCGAACAGTATCTGTTTCTTGGTTTTCCTTTTATTTTCACTGTCCTAATTTCACTCCCGAAGGTTCTGGTTACTGTTCTTTCTTTTGGCATCCCCATAATGTATCCTATCTACTTTGCTTGATTATTGTGCCGCCTTTCGTCATTATATCTCAGGCGATATTTTTCGTTTTCAGTATAAATAAATCTCCAGCTTTCACTTCTTTAAGTGACTAAAAGCCGCATAACTGTTTTATATAATAAAATCTTATTTTTTCTCGATACATTTTTATATGTCAAAAGCTCTTTTACACTGTGAAAGAACATGTTTCCAACTTGTATTTTTTTGTAGATATTCAACATCGTTGTGTTGTTCTCATTGAATACTGTTCCTAAATAT